TAATGAGTGTAGATAACGGAGAGGCACAACCGAACGGACGGCACACACGTCGTTAAGGTACGAATGTCCGTACTGTACTGTACCACTGTGCCGCGACCCCCCTGTGCTGTGTTTTTTTACTCTTAACTTAGAATTATAAAAGTAAAACTCAAGTAAAGGAAATTTTACAAGAAATTCAAAAATAATAACTTCAATGTTGTTTCCTCAATAAATAACCCACAAAAACACTACATACAGTAAAAAACATGTGAAAGTCTTAAAATACGTTGTAACTGATTTTGTTGATTTTTAATTATTTATTTTCATTTTATTTTTTGGAAAACGCATATTCGTTAAAAAAAGATTCTAGAAGTTTAATTTTTTATGCCAAGTATGATAATTATATTAGACTTATTATTTTATGGACAGTTAATTAATGATTAATTACAAATTTAACAAAATTGATTGTATTATTACAGTTCGTCGTATCAATATATCAATTTTGGTTTACTGAATTACTCTAAGATAGTACTAATTATATTATTATTAAAGATAAGTATATTTGAGTTATTTTCGACAACTGACATAATTTGTGTCATATAAATGCAGCAGACAATTTGTGAACACGTTAAATATATTATACCTGTTAATTATTATATATTAAATGATACGTTTTAATCACAAATGTACAATACTTTTAGCGTCTTTAAAGTATTACGAACTAATATTTATCTTATTGGTAATTATTCCCACGAAATTACTGGTAGTAAGTTACCATCAAATCTACAACTATTTAATCTGAACACTGATTTTTTGAAAATTGATCCATCATTTTGGAGTGCGAACAACAGTTACATAAATGCTTTAAATACTATAAGTAAATTACGAGTCATTAATGATACCGACTAGCGTGGTATTAAATTAATCTAAGACTACATTAATATATTAACTACAAATGAATAACAGAAACAATACGTTTTACAAATAGTAAGTAATTATCGGAAAAAATTTCTTCGGAAGCAATGAAATTAGCAAAATCCCATTCAATATTCAAAATATTTAAATTTGTAAAACGGTGTTGCAGCAAGCTGTTTCATAACCAGTTTTTCAACTTCCTCATGGATGAAAAACTTTGTTCACATGTAGCAGAACTAAACGGTATAGTTAAAGCAACCTGCATTAACTTGTATACTTGTATCGAAAATTTTTCTTTATCTAGAATTTCTTTTATTTCATCTTCACTGTTTCTTTGCTACCAGAATTTCTGATTTTAAGCATTCGGTGTTTGAATTTATTATGTCCTAAAATCATAGAATATTTTTTTAATTTTTTAAAATGTAATGATTTTATTACATTTGGTACTTTATAACTTAATTAATTTTGACTATTTTCATAATTCTTATTATAAAATACATTGTAAAAGTTGTAATAAATGGAGAAACAAAAAGAAATTTAAGGAATCTCAAATGGACTAGCTAGATGATAAAAATAATAATTTAAGATATTTACTAGGTCACCCTAAAGATAAAGTAGTAGAAGGGTGAAATAGGCATTTATAAAATTCAATGAGTAAGTTGTAAAAAATGTTACGTAGGACAAAGAATAAGGAATGAATATAGTTTAAAAAAACTAAAAAACATGCTTTTAAAACACATCAAACTAAAAAGTTCAAAATAATTTTTACAATAAGCTTAACATAATAATGAATGTAAAGTATTATTGTGATAATAGTATCATTGTGATAATAGTATTATTGTGATAAAAGCGTCGGGCACTCAATATACGAAAAATATGGCACAAAGCACCCACGCTTTTATCACAATCATACTAGTATTTTTCGTTCATTATTGTTTTAAGCTTATTTTAAAAATTATTTTTAACTTTTTAGTTTCATGTTATGATAGTAGTTACTATCAATATCAAGGTTGTAACGGGTAACGGGAAATCGGGGTTCGATTCCGAAGAGGGAGTCTGAGAAACGGTTACCATATCCAAGGAAAGTAGCAGACGCGCAACGTGGAGGTAATGACGAAAAATGACGATACGGGAATCATCTTCCTTAATCGAAATGAACACATTATATATCTCTTAATGAGAATAAAGCGTATTAATATATAAGTTTTAATAGTAATTAGAATATATATATATACATGTAAAGGTACTTAAGTACGTAAACGTATCATGCACGAGGTATAACCGTGTTTTGTGGACGTGTGTGGCGGGGGCAACGTTATACACGAGGCATATACGGCGGCAGCCTCATCGGCTGTAGGAATATATAATATAATATTAACATATACGAATATATATATATATTAATATTAGCGGCGGTGGAAGGAATATATAAATATATACACGTGAAGCGTATAAATGCAGGCGTTATTGATCAATCAAAAAAAAAATATTCATAGTAGGGCGACGTCTGATAAAGTTGGCATGAGTGGCGGGACCGTTTCACAATAAATATTTGTTTATGTATATATATATATATATATACATATAATAAAATTATACAGGAAAATATTGTTATCGGTGAGTGATGATCAGGTTGGGGTTGTGGCGGTCGAATATTACACCTCGCTACAGGGTGAAGGCGTTACGACAGTCTAGTCTCAAGGCCATAGACGACGGGATACGCGAGAATAATAACAAGTGAGCGTGGAGAGTTACAAACATATTTTCATATTTACATACACACTCAGGCACGTAGACATGGGTGGGCCTGGCCCCCCTTAGATTTAATGTGACCCAGGGCCGGCCCCCCCAAATTTAAAATTCAATTATTTTTACGAATTATCAAATATGTACTAGGCCTTATATACATTGAAATTATTATTAATTATCATTATTTTATTAGATTCGATGCGAAAAAACATTAATAATTATAAAGAACTTAATATAAGGAAGGCAATAGAAATATCTAAAAATAAGAACAATTTAAATTATGCCAAAAACATATAATATCTCGACTATATTGACTACAATGTAACTGAGTTTCTCATATATAGATAATTTATTTTTTGTGCGATCAAACGAGATGTTTTGAAATTTATTTTTATATTATTTAAATAATCATGTTAAAAAATGTAGTTAAAACAATGCCAAAATAA